CATGAACACAGGAGGGCAGCGCTCTGCTGCTGGTGGCCCAGCGGCCACCGCTCCCTCCTGTGCCTGGCAGGGCACTGCGCCGATCGTGTGCTTTCGGGTCGCTGTGGTTGTAGCTTTCTGTCCTTTTTTATGATTAACATTTTTTTCGAAGTTTGGGGACTGTGTCTACATGTCTACTGTGTCATGTCTGTTCAGATGACAGCTGGTAGGGCATGGGAAGGCTCCTTCAAAGCTTCGATGGAAGGCAATGTCCTCCGGCCTCCAAAATGCCACATACCAGCAACAAGAATTAATACTCTAAAGGCGATAAGTCAGTAAACTAAGCATTGGTCTGAGTGTCCTGCTGTAACTAGTCGTGATGGTTCACCTTTGCCATGCATGCTATGTGGCAAACTTGAGGATAATTTTATATTTGCTGTCCGGAGCAGCATTTGTCATCTTTGATCTCCTCCTTATCCACGAAGATGTACTTATTTGAGATCTCCATTCCACTTTAAATAACCAACTCCTATCCTAACTAAGCAGCATGAAGCTAGCTTTAAAGGCCTCTGGAACTTTAAATAAAATGGTCTGACCACGTCCCCAAGCTGCTGGTGCATAATGGTGACAAGATACTCTACCGCCCTAACTGGGGCACCGTGAGAGTGAAAAGAGGCCCTGTTCGTAATCAGACCTCCTGTGTAGCCACACTACCCACGACCTGCTGTGCAGCTCCTTAAAGAGCTGCTGCAATGTCCAGCCCTCCCAACCAACTGAAGAAGATCTCTAAAGATAAATGGCATTAAAAAATAGTTGATATTTTTTGAGTGCTTACTGTGCCTTTTCACTGATGGGACGCAGGACTCAGAGCAGTGGAGCCCATGCTGAGCCACACAGGTGCTCACATCCCTGCGTTGTTCTGCCTCTCTGGAGACTAGGGGATGGATATCCTGAGGATAGAGGAACACAGACTTGGGGCAGAACGTAAATGTGAAAGTTGGCTTGGGGTCCTTGTAACTCACACCCTAGTAAGTTGATGAGAGAGAAAGGTTAAGTACATCCACCTAATGTGGGCCATGTGGGGTCTCAGATTAGGATGTAAAAACAGATTATATGTACTTAACAAACACTAAATGGCATACTTGCAAAGATCCTTTGCAGGAAGAGGGACGTGCTTCTCCGTGAGGAAGCTGCATCCATCTCACAGCCCCTACGATGTCATTTGGACTCCTAAAAAAATAACTACCACCTGGCCTTTAATGACCCAAACACACTGTTGAAAGAGACACACCAGGGCCTTGCCTTGGGGAGGGGCCTTACAGCCCGAAAGCCAGGCCATGTGCAAGTACACAGGACACCCTGGCGGTCTAGTTCTCTTTAAATAGCGCTTCCCAGGCAGGGAAGCTCCTCAACCCTCCAGAGCTCTTGCCACCCACTTGCCTGATGGGGCAGCTGAGGGCTGCTACATCTGTCCACAGGGTCTCAGAGGCCCACGACCCCAAAACCCCACCCAGGTATCACAGAGCAGAGGAAACGAGTCTGAAGAGTAAAATGGTAGATTTTCTCTCTAATCTGAGATGGTGCTGAGGTGCAGAACCCACAAGAGCAAGTGGTCTGCTCAAGAGCCTCCACGTGTAAACAAAACACCCTTGAATAGCAGACAGACAGGACCAGATGGGGCAGGTGTCCTGGGCATCCCTGCAGGTCCACCCTGGGGTCCCTTCCCTTCCCACACACCCAGGGGAGCTCTGCCAGGAGTCTCCCATTTTAATTAGAACCAGAGTGAACTATGCAAGCCAAATTTGACAAGTAAAAATAACCTGGCTGCTTCCTCCTTTGGAAAGAACCACCACCGTGATAAGATCTGTGGCTCAGCACACTTCCCTGCGGGTAAGACCACACCTAGCTAAACGCTGGGCTAGACCCGGGGCCCAGGTGAGGTGCCAAGCCTGCCCAGGGTCTGAAATGGAGACTGTTCCCAGTCTGGTCCTTGAATTTCTGAGGAAGTCTTTCTTGTTTGTTTCTGGTTTTTCCTGGTCTGGTGTATCTAGAAAGGGCATTAGCGTCCTACAGTTAGTCAGGGAACAAAAAAGCCCAAGTAACTAGTGCTCCATAAACAAAGGATGCGTATCCCATCTTCTTCCAGGGAAACAGAGCCACAGCCCCTGGCACTGGTGCCCAGCCTTCTCACCGGCCGGGGAACTGGTTGCTTGGTCTTAGTCCCCCCCAGAGTCCTTCCTTGAGCCAGCAACATGCTCACTCTTTTCCATGGAGAAGGAGGCATTCTCTGTGCATCTAAGCCAGGCTGCCTGATTCACTCTCACTACTCTGCAGTGTAGAACTGTAAAAAGCAAAAGCTACAAAAATCAAAACAACCTGTCTATATAATGAACCATTTCTTATCATCCCAGGAAGGCAGGGTGATTGTGATAGGAATCAGTGTGCGTAAGCTCTCCACATTGAAAAACCTATGAAAACATCAGCCTTTCCGGAGCGTCAGGCTCCTAAGAGCTGGATGTTAATTGTCGCCAAAGCCTCTGCCCATTACTGCAAAAGGAAACAAACATTCAGGAGTCATTTTCAAAGCATTGTGATTGTTCCGGAACATTCACCCGGAGTCAAGAGTCTCCTGGTACACAGGAGGTCTACTTCACACAGAAACAAGCTACCAGCCCCTCAGGCAGGAGGCTGAGCACCTTCCCTATCCTTTCCCCACTGTCCTTCTTGGGGCACCCCAGGCCCTGCGATGGTATATCCACTCAAATCTAAATCTCTCCAGAGGTAAGACCACTGTCCTGGAATAAGAGGCACTTCCTGCCCACCCTGTCTGCCATCCTTTCTGCTCAGCACAGCAAGGAATTCTGTCAGTCACCCTGGGGAAAGCCTTTTACGTCATCTGATACATCCTCTTTCACAGTTTTCACTCAATGGTCAGCCAGGCTGCTTGAGCACAAGTAAAGAGAAGCTTCCCTACCTTGAAAGAGCCCCTAGTAGGCAGGAAGGAGGGTGGAAGCAGAGTCTGCACCAGCATGACTGGCTGGGGTGTGGACACAGTAGTCGGGGAGCAGGGGGGTTCCCAGGAGTGCTGATGTCCACAATAAGACATCAAGGATGAGTTAGTGTTTGGCAAGTGGACATGGGGCAGCAAGGACGGGCTCAGCACATGCAAAGACAGCAGTGGAAAAGAATACCTTCGACCCTAACCCTAATTCCAGTGGGCTCCACTCTGTGGGCCTGGCAAGCCCCAGCTCTGAGGACCCCTGAACAACAGAGGATAGAATTTCCTGATTAACAGAGGCAAGGAAATAAAGTGTTATGGTCTTAGTGAAACTAGCTCGGCCACCTTGGAATGGGACGGTTCCTCTTTGCTGGCTTTTTGTTTCTGTCAGCTCTGTGCCTCTCTCTCTCACACTCACACAGACCCAGTTGCCTTGCGGCTTCCCAGGTGGCGGGCTCCTGCCATCACCTGAGTCACCATCACCACACTCCCCCTTTGTCCACTCCAGGCAGCCCATCTCCACTGGGATCATTAATGAATTTAGCCCTGGATTTTGGCAAAGTTCACTCCATTGATTACAGAGATTCACTGTTAACAGGCCACCACTGGGGGCTCTTTTTAAATAAGGCATAGGAAGAAAGATGTTGTCGTCTCGCCATAAAATGCTTCCAACTGCCAGGCTGTGGCCCACCCCCCTGTCGACACTGCATGTCACTGCAGGGCGCTCACAGTGGAGAGGAGCCCTGCACAGAGGCCTGCACAGCTTACGCAGTGGCACAGGGCCTCGAGATGTTTCCACAAATTACAAACCGAAGAGAGCTAAGACGCTTGGAGCAGGTTCTCATTCCCAATTGCACGTTTCTTTGAAGGCAGTGAGCACAGGCCAGGGCAGCGAATATTTATAGTCTGGTTTAACACTAGTGAAACATCAGGAAATTCATTGTTTGTGTTGTCACCAAAGCCCAAACCCAGAACACAAAGACTTTAATGCTTTGCAAAGCCTCTGCAGCCTGGGCGGTGAGCTGCCCACAGGGTGTGGGTTCTGGGGTTATCTCCTCTCGCACTCGCCTGGCTGTGACGGCTCACATTGCTGTCATTCCCACCACCCCTTGGCTCCCTCCTCACATGCGTCAGTTCAGGACTCTGAGCGAAAGGTCACAGAGCAGCTTCCTCTGCCTTAATGACGCCGGGAGGAGGCTACAGGGCTACATCTGGTTCTCCTGACGCCAGGACCAACCAAGGCCTAGCAAGCGACAGCACCCTGTGTGCCCTATGGAACTGATTGATTTAATTCTCCTAACAATCTCATGAGGTGTTCCTTACACTTGGAACAACTGAGGCACAGGTACAGGAAGTTACCTGTCCAGCCAAAGGTGCACAGCCTGTGAGCAGTAAGCCTGGGACGCGTGTCCTGGCTGCCTGGCTCCAGAGCCCGAATTCCTAACCACTTCCCGCACAGGAAGGCTGGGGAGATGTGGGTTTGTTAAAGCACTTTATACCTGTTGATATTATCCACCACTAACTCAGTTCTTTCTCCCTGTAGACTGCAGGGCACGAGCCGCCCTAGCAGCAGTGCAGTTTATGGCCTGTTTAAAGTTCCCTCATACATGGTATGAGTTAGACTAGGGGTCAGCTTGGTGTCTAAATCAGAGCTGCTTTCTCAAAGAGAGAAAACTATTTGAGGACTGGAGTTACCTCGTGTTAAGCACCTGCTGCACCCAGCTGCATGACACAGACTCAGAAGCCCCTGAAGCCCCTGACGGAGCCCTGGCTGGGGCTGTGCAGCTGTGCAGCGGTCTCTATTCCACCCCCCAGCAGGACAGCACTGCACTGCTGGTGGCTGTGGCTCAGGACATGCCACCCCCTCCCAGCCCCTCTGGCTAGCCAGGCTTGGGCAGGGTTCCCCTCCCTGCAGGCTGCACTCTGAACCCACATGGCTCACCATCAGCACAAGGGCTGACCAGGGGCTCCTTGGCTGGCAAACCTGGGGCCACGGAGCACACTAGCCAAGTGCCTCAGGCCATCTGGCGGTGATCTCCAAGGGAGGTCAGCGTGCTTGAGGGGCTTGCGGTTATCAATTAGAAAAACAGATCCCAAAGCCATTTGCTGGGGGCTCAGAGCACAGCAGGGAACCATCTAACCTGGGGTGGGCACATCCATGGATTTCCTGTCCAACAAGGGGAGCTGCCCAGACGGGCTGCTCAGGCCAGTGTGGGCCCACTCTCTGCCCCCATCAGAGGTCTCAGGCCAGGCTGGGAGTCAGATCCTCCCGGGTTTTATTTTTCCCCTGAGCCTGGGGCGCACGGCTTGAGCTGATGTCCTGCGAGGGGCCTCTTCACACACTGGCACAAGGAGAGGGGGACAAAGGCCAGCTCCATGAGCAAGTCTGGCCCGAGAGCCCTCTCGAGGCTGGACAGCTCCTCAAGAAGAGCCATCTTCTTGAAAAATAGTAATCGGAGCCCAGTGTAGGGGTCTTGGCAGAAAACACCCCCACCTTATTTGTAGTGAATGACTGTCACCCAGCACATCACACGCCCAGGAAGGGGGTGCTCTGGAAACTGCTAAGTCCACAGAAACTGGGAAGGGACAAGGAACCCAAAGGGCTCCATTCCCTAGGGCCTGACCAGTGGGCCTCAGAGGAACACACCTGCCACCTGCCTGCCCACTGGCCTCTCGCTGACGCCCCAGCAGTGTCAGCGAGGTCTCACCCCACCCTCCTGGGGCGGCTGCCTTATTACCACGCCTCCTGATGGGTTCAGAGGGGCCCCACAAGCCAGCAGAGCCTGGATGGGCACGCTGCCCCCGGGAGCTTCCTGACCCCTGGCCCTGGCTGTGCTTACCCTGGCTTAGCCTTCCTCTGACAGGGACAGCTGCTAGGGTCCAAGAGGCAGACCCTCTGTGCTGCAGAGGAAGTGAGCACACCGTGACGTCCTTATGGCTTCGCACAGCCCCCCAAGCTCCACAGGAGCGTGTGGGCAGAGAGTTCTGAGCCCTCCCCATCCCAGACCTCGAGGTACACGTGGTCCTGATCACTGGCCCTCTCAAGGTTTTCTACATGGAAGCGTCACTTCTGACGCCACTTTCTGGTGTGTGCGGCATCCAGCCCTGTCCCTCCTGCTGCTCACATCTGCCTGGAGACCCTGAGCTGGGCGGGCTGAGGTTCTGTGGTGGCTGAGGGGCCTCAGCTGCTTACTCACTGCCCCAGATGAAAGCAGACCTGCTCCCATGCTCAGGCCACTGTATGCACTAGGGACACCCTCTGTGCCGTAGCCGGGATGGCCTGTCCCGCTCCTGACTACCGCTGGCCCATGGGCCCGGAAGCTAAAGCCCTCTGCATCCACCTGAAGAAGAGGCCAGACACTTCTTCCACACCAGCCTCCTCTGGACTGGGAAGTAAGTGGCAGGTGCAAGGCCAGCCCTGGCCTTTTGTATGTCCACTTTGTTCTTTGTGAGGGCAACAAGTCACGTTCCTATCATTAATGACTTCTTTTACAGGGCCCAGGCAGCCCATCCCCGCAAGATGCCCAGGGCCTGCTTCTCATAGTACACAGGGACCCTGCAGAGAGGACGGGAGGGCAGGGCAGAGAAGGGCCGGTCCTTGGTGCTCCCTGAGGACGGGCTGTGGAATGCTGCTCCCGCCATCACTGTGGGTGCTGATGTGGACCTGGGGCGGGACCTGCTGGTGGGTGGCAGGTCCCACAGGAATCCTGGGGGAGGGTTTCGGAGGTGGGAGAGGCCAGTGGGAAGAATGGAAGGTGGCTGGACCAGCCAGCCTGCTGGAGGAGTAGCTTCCAGGAGGGCCTGGCCTGGGAGGGTGGGGGCAGCTGGAGGGCGCTGGCCACGAGCCTGGTGTGGTGATAGGGCCTCCTGACAAGGGGCCTGCTGGAGTCCCTGCTGCCAAGGGCACTGCAGCAGGTGGCGGGGCCACAGGAAGGTGGATGGTTAGTCCTGCCCTTGGCAGGCAGCTCCCCAAGTGGATGTGGGTGGACCTGGGTGTGGGTCAGGAGTGCTCCACACCTGGGGCTGGGCAGCCAAGAGAGATGGCCCCAGCTCCAGGGTCAGGGATGGCCCTTCTCTGTTGTCTCTTGCGGAGAGAGACAGAAACACAGTGAGGGACCCTTCCTAGAATCTTGACAAACTCAGACTTCCAAATGTCAGACAAAAAGCCCACTTCTATGACACTAATTTGGGGGTTTTCTCCCTCAAACCCAAACCTCCCACCCCATCCAGTACCAAGTTCCTCTTTCTCATGAAGGAAGTTCGCGGCGAGCCTGGCTAACTGGAAAGACGGCCCAGTCCAGGTTGTGAGTTCCAGGGTGTTCCTCTTCCCCACATGCCGCAGGGCGGGAAGTCTCAGCACAGAGGAAGTGGAGGCCACAGGAGACCCGGAGAAGCAGGAGGGGGCAGCTCCGCCCATGCTACCCTGGGGCAGGGGATACCGGGCAACGCCAACAGCAAGTTGGACAGGACAGGACCCCCCACCTCCACAGCGTTCTTGGGAACACCTCAGCTATCGTGACCACGTGTATGTCACTAACTACCCCCTGAGCAGGAGAGGTGGGGACACAGAAGTGACATGACCCTCTGTGCCCCAACTGAACAGCTCCCACCAAGAGCATTGGCAGCCCCTGTGGGTTGCAACTTGCAGCTGTCTGGCCTGCAAGCCATGGCCAACACCCTGCAGGTGGAGGCAGTGCTTAGTGTGAGTGCGCCTAGGGGGCCCTGCCGGAGCGGCACCACTGGCGTGGACGGCTGCCGTCAGCTGCACACCTGCCCTTCCCAGCTGCCCCTCGCCCCTCTCACCTCAGCTCCTAACACAGACGAGACTCATTTTTTAACTTTATGAACATCCCCTACAAAACTAGCCCACGAATCCACCCATCCACAAGTCATTTTGCTCCCGAGATCTCTAAGTAACACCTGGTAAGAGGAGGTGTTTCCCAAGAAAGAATGTCAGAACAAAAAAGCACAGTGTGTCATTTTTAGGCTGAAAGTGAATGAAAACAGGCAGCTTTTAGCTCCTAATCTTGATTTGAAATAAAAATCTTTGTAATTGATATGTAATAAACTGCACATAGAAGCTACTTCTAGCTTTAAAAGTTTATAAATTCTTCAGTATTTACAAGCTGTCAGTACATACAAGTTTACTCAGGTATGTTTTCAGTCTGAAGCCCAGCACTGAGGGTCACCACCTGCCCTCCCGCATGCCTGGGCTAGGTGACACTAGGCAAGACGGGGCTGTACCAGCACGGGACGCATGGAGGAAATGCTAAGCAGATTTTACCCCATGTGACGCTCTCCCAAGAATCGGGCCATTCTTAGCCCTGTGCTGGCTGCCCTCCTGCTCGCAGTGCTTGGGGCAGGCATTGGCAGTCCAGGCAGCTCCTGCCTCAGCTCCCTGCACAGACGGCGCAAATCGGACAAACCAGCCCAGCGCGGCTCCGTCTGCAGGAGGAACCTGGGGCTGGGTCCAGCCCTCACTGGAACGCTCAGTTTGCGTGGCCAGCTTAGCTCTTCTCCAACCGCACTGTTACACGCGTTCACGGCGGGGGACACATGTGTCAGGAGGCTGCAGAGCACACCTCCGTCTTCACTCTCGGCTCTGAGCCTGCCCTTGCCTGTGCTGTGCCTCCCAGAGCTGTTTCCCTCGGGCCGAAGCGCAAGCAGCCAGGGCTTCTTTCCGCAGCAGACGCACAGTGAGGTCCAACTACTTTGTTCTGTTTTCTACAGACAAGCATCTATTCAGTTTATTTCCTCAAGGAAAAAGGGGATGCATGACTGAACTTCTTAGGCACGACGTGCATCAGGAGTGCCCACACGGACCCTGGGCAGAAGTGCCACCGGACGCCACAGCGTCTGCCTGCACCCAGCCAGCCCCCAAGGAGCCACATGCTGATCCCACAGCCGCCCGTCCCTGCAGAACCTCGGCTTCTTGAAACTGGCTGTAAACAGAGAGAGGGAGGGGCCGCTGCGCCTGCCAAGGGAGGCAGGAACTTTGTGAGTAATTTACTGGAGGAAAAACAAGTGGTGTGCCTGCATCCTGGGGCCGTGTGCTCTTGCTCTGGCACCGTGCACGGTGCTGCAGATGCGGAGGCTGCGGGTCTCGGTGCAGTCACAGTGCAGGCCCCTCTGGCTCTCATGCTGCTCTCTGATGGTATCGGTTGTCCACAGCACAAAGAAACGTGGGACCCCAAATAAAGGTAGGAACCCAGCAGCCAGCAAGGCGGTGGAGGCTGAGAGCTGACCAGGGGAGGCAGGAAGGGCTCCGTGCAGCCTGCCACCATGGGGACATCTTTAAATGCCAGGGGCTGGGCCAGAGCAGGACCCAGGAGGGGCCGGGCCTCTGCCAGATCTGGCAGGTGAAGGTGGCCCCAGCCAGACTGTGGCCCTCTTGTAAATAAAGCCGGGGGACAACATGGGTCACGTGCATGAGGGCCCTTCCTCCTCAGAGGACCCTGTCAACCTCACATGCTTTGTCCCTAGTGTGGGAACACCTGGGAACAGCTCAGACAAACCCTGGGGCCTTGGACGCCACGTGAGGCCAGGCCAGGCCAGGCTGCTCTTGGGGTGGAGACACTCTGCTTGCTGACATCCACTTGCAGGGATGGGAGCTGGAGGGAACTCAAGAGGAGAGCACAGTGCTTCCTAGGACTCATGGCCAGTGGGGTCTGATGGACGACATCCCCAAACTGGGGACTCCTACTCAGCCCCCAGTCACAGCCAAAGCCAAGCAGCAAGGCACGTGGGTGCTGGGGGGCAAACATACGTGGAAGACATCATTCAGTCCTCCAGCCCCTGGCCACAGAGGCAGTTGGGTGGCCGAGATTGGGGGTGGGAAAACAGTGGAACAGGAAGAAGAGAATGCAAGACCAGCACCAGGTGCCAGGTCAGCACACAGATGGAGGCAGGGACGCCCTCTCCAGCTCCAGGAGGGCAGCCACTTCTTACTGCCTGCCTGGTGCTTGTGCCATCTGCCCAAGAGGGGTCTGGCCCTGACAGACCCTGTGGGTGCCGCCAGCCCAGCCCAGGAGGTCCGGTCAGGATGTGGCTAGTGAAGGGACGGACGGCCAGCGGGTAAGGAGCAGTTGTCTGGATTTCAGGACCCGTGTCCATGTCGTGGACAAGAGTGAACATTCCTCCCTGGAGTGATGTGACCTGCACGTGTGGGCGGGCACCCAGTGTGGCCTAAGTCTTAGCATCTTCATCATCACCTGACACTCATCTCAGGTTGCCAGGTGGCATTCATTAGGGTTGCAGAACCACATGCCCACTCAGTGTCCTTCCCGCGCACATCTGAGGATCGAGGCTGTGAGTCCCAAAGGAATTTCCCCATGTGCCCATCTGCCCGCTGCCATGCGCCGGCTCTGGGGACATGAAGTGCAGAGGCGTGGGGCAGACCCGCAGGGCAGTGCCGCTGTGCTGTGGGACGTGCACAGGATGCCCCAGAGCAGGGTCTGAGGCTCTTGCTCCCTTGGCAGCCCGACTTCCTCACTGTGTTCCTGCCTCGGGGGACAGGAATGGTTGCTGTGTCTGCTGGGACGCTCGTTCATTGCGAGAGCAAGAGATCTGGCTGAACCAACTACCTTCTGAATGTGAGGTTTCCCCCAAAGAACTGGATGTTCCTGAAGAATATCTGTTCTCTGGGAGAGAAGGGAACACTTTATATTGTGCTTCCACCTGCCAATTTCTTGTTCAGTTATGACAAGACTGGGTGTGTGCCCAGAGTCTCCCACAGGCTACGACTGACAGACCGCTCTGCCCTGAACCCAGGCGCTGTGCTGCCTCTGAGGCGCCAGGTCCTGGGCCAGGACCACCCTGGCATGGGGAGGGAAGCCCCAGGGCCAACCACCCACGCCGCCCATCTCTCGCAGCACTGGCAGGACCTGAGCACCCACAGGCACCCGACAAACCGCTAAGTCACAGCGTTGGGCCCATCCAACCTCATCAAGATGTTCCCTTAGGCCTCATGGCACCTGCAGAGCAGCTCTGAGCACATGGGACGCGCTGAGCTCACGCTCCAGTCCCAGCTCCACATGCCGTGGGCTCTCTGGGGCCACGGCCCCTCCAGGCTCAGCTCTCGTCCACCAGAGCTGGCACAGCTGCTCACACACAGTCCACGCGTGCTCCTGTGGGGCTCCCGCGAGCCTTCTTGCTCTGCTCAGCAAGTGGCACATGAGCAGGCATGTCTCCACATCCCACCGGACGACGGCTGCGTGAGGCGGCGCCCAGCGCAGGGCAGGAACTCAGCACGTCAGTGTGAGGAGCTGGAGGGAGCCAGGTGGGGACAGCTCATCCCAGGGCTGGGGGCTGCAGCACCAGGTGCTGTCCGGTGGCCTGGGGAACAGGGTGGGTTTTCTGGCCCTGAGGAGCCTCCTCCTGGTGGAGAAAAACCCCCCACACTACCAGCTGGTGCTGAGGACTGTGGCGGGTCGGGCCGAGTAGGACAAAGAGGAGGGCATGGAGCACTCGCTGACCAGCTTCTGTTAGGGGCGTCCAGAATAAACTACCCATCACCCAGGATCTCCAACAATACTTCCTTCTGACACTGATGAGAAAAAAAATCAGTTCCCGGCTGGGGCCACTGTCTATGTGGGGTCTGCACTTCCTCCCACATCCCACAGCTGCGCATGGTGCTAACGCGGTGTCCACATAGCACCCGTCTGCCTGTGGATGTACAAGCCCTGCACTGGACAGCGTCCTGGCCAAGCTGGTACCTGCCTGTGCCCCGAGCTGCCGGGATAGGCGCTGACCACCCTCGACCCTGAACTGGAATAAGTGGGTTGGAAAATGAATGAATGAATACAATTACTGTAAAATAAAAATTTGCAAAGTCTACGATAATCATACACATGCACAGCAATAAATGACGTGGTATGGACGCACTCAGTGAGTTTCTGTATTTGTGACTGTTTGCGGGCTGCGTGGTGGCAGGAGGTGCTCTATACAGCTCGCTTCACAAGCATTTATCCTGATTTCACCCACCACCACCACCAAACGCCTCACCAAAAGTTGGGTAAATATTATCTCACTTGTTTTTATTAACCTTTCTTAAATGTACATGTAGCTCACATTTATTTCAATGTTGAATATTAGAAGTGTTTGGGGTCTTTACTTAGAAGTCTGGTGATGTTTTTGTGACCAGAAATCAGCTGTAGAAACTTGGCTCATTTCTGTCAATTACGCTTTCAATATATGTCCTTTTGCTTAAAGTCACAGTTTCCAAGAACCTATCGACAGCTTACCACAGTCACATTTCTCAAGAAGCAGCTCAGGGAGACTCACCGTGGCCACTGACGTTACTGCAGCATCATAAGCTTTGGCCACAGCAGCCCAGGCCAGGACTTCACATAGTCGTTCATTGACTGTGTTCTCTTAGGGCAGACTCTGGTCTCTGGAGCCCCCCGGGCTGGTAGGAGGCCCCCACCCGGGCTGGTAAGAGGCCCCCTCTGTATTTCTGAACCACTCCTGGCCCTGCCCTGGGAAGGGGACATGAGCTGACTTCTTGTTCCTTCCTCCCGCAGAGTCACAGAGCCTCACCGGCCGCCATGTGGGACTGCGGCTGGCTCAACGGGACAGGCAGGAGTGAGGAGCCACCCGCCTGCCAGGACCTGCAGCTTGGGCTGTCCGTGCTGTCACTGCTCTGCCTGGCCGCAGGCGTCCCCGTCGGCTTCTGCTACAATGGCCTGCTGGTGCTGGCCAACCTGCACAGCAAGAGCAGCATGACCATGCCAGATGTGTACTTCGTCAACATGGCCGTGGCGGGCCTAGTCCTCAACGCTCTGGCCCCCGTGTGCCTCCTCGGCACCCCTGGCTCAGCATGGGCCCCATGGAGTGTCAGCAGCGAGGCACACATTGCTCTGCTGATCCCATTCAACGTGTCCTCCCTGGTGGCCACATACTCCACCACCCTGCTCAGCCTCGACCACTACATCGAGCGCGCGCTGCCACGGACCCACATGGCCAGCGTGCACAACACCCGGCACGTGTGTGGCTTCATCTGGGGCGGGGCCCTGCTAACTAGCTTCTCCTCACTGCTTTTCTACATCTGCAGCCGTGTGTCCTCCCGGGTCCTGGAGTGCGCCAAGATGCAGAGCACAGAGGCTGCTGACGCCATCCTGGTGCTCATTGGCTATGTGGTGCCAGCACCGGCCGCCATCTATGGGCTGGTGCTCATCTCGCGCATCCAGAAGGCAGACACGCCACTTGACCAGGACACGGGGAGGCTGGACCCCTCAGCACACAGGCTCCTGGTGGCCACAGTGTGCACACAGTTTGGGCTCTGGACGCCTCACTACCTGACCCTCCTGGGACACACAGTCCTGGTCTCTCGTGGGAAGCCAGTGGACGCTAACTACGCAGGGATAGTGCACCTCGCGAAGGATTTATCGAAAGTCTTGGCCTTCTCGAGCAGCTTTGTGATGCCCCTTCTTTACCGCCACATGAACAAAAGCTTCCCCAGCAAGCTTGGGCGGCTGATGAAGAAGATGCGCTGTGGGCGCCAGCACTGCGCCCCAGACCCCGCAGGGCTGCAGCAAGTGTTGACGTAGGTGGCCTGGGTCAGGTAGCCAAGCCCAAGGCCCTCGCTGACTCCCTCCTGGGACACAAACTAAAGTTCCGATGGACGCATGGCACTTTGCTACCCTGGCACTCTCGCCTGTCCTCTCCAGAAAGAGATGCACCAAGGCCAGAACAGCACAGGGTGTTTTTCGTGAAGTTTTCTATGTTTTTCCTAAAAGGCCACTCTCAGGCCAAGGCTGTGTTGTTCAAAGCAACAGGTTCCTGGTGTGAAGAATCCGCTGCATTCTTATTAACATGCCTGCTTTCTCTTGGAGATGTGTGCGTTTCCCCTAAACACACACCCTAAGGTCCAGGCCCGCAGCCTCAACACCAGGCGTTCATGAAGTGATAAGAATCTAAAGCCACTATTTATACTGTGTTTGAATTGTTAAAATACTTGATTCCTCCTCATTTCTTTGGTGTCATAGAAAAATGACAAGTATTAAAATGAAGGAAATGCTACAAAGGCATGTTGGTATCTGGCTGGGGCTGGCGGGTGGGCTGGCCTCCAGGATGTGCTGTGGGCACACGTGTTCTTAACGTAGTCCCTGAAAAATGTGCCTGAGATGCAGCTGGTTTTAAACTGGGAATAATTAAGTAGCACAACACTCTCTCCTTACCCACCAAATGTACTCGATATGCCCACGGCCCCCACAGAAACATCACTTCAAAGTGTGCACAAAACTGAAGAGTATAATAAACTGAGGAAAGAAAAATGCTGTTAGGATTTCTAACTTAATGCTAAGGCTGAAAGGGCATCCCCAGGGAAGAGAGGTCTGGACGGCCGGATGAAGTGCCCCATGAGGTCTGCTGGGGAGTGACAGGACAAGCCTGCAGCTGGGCTACCCGGGATGGCCAGGGACCAGCATCGCACCTGTGGGAGACCCCGTAGCCTCACGTGGGAGGTAGCCCAGGCTAGCCTATTCCATTAGGAGCTACACAGATGTTAGCTGTGAGGTGGGCCCAGGTGAAGCACTCCCTTCTCCCAGACACAGAGGTGTCCCTGGTATAAAGGTGACACAGGTGAGGCACCCCTCCCCCAGACACAGAGGTGTCCCTGGTCTAGAGATGACACATGTGAGGCTCCCCCTTTCCCCGGGCACAGAGGAGTCCCTGGTCTAGAGGCGACACAGGTGAGGCTCCCCCTCCCCGGGCATAGAGGTGTCCTTGGTCTAGTGGCTGGGATACAAAACTTGCCCTATTTCCTGATCCGATTATTAGAGAAGTTTTCAGAGTTACTTCTGACTGTCAAATTTTTGTTTTAAGGTGTGCCAGTGTCCCATTCCAACCTTTAAGCTGCAAGTTTGACTTTCCCTCCCGCCACTCCTTCCCAAGCACAGAGCTGGGCGGGAGGTTTGTCTATCTTGAGACCAGGGAAGCCTTCCTGCCCCCACAGCTCTGCCTGGAACCCTTGGTGGAGAAATGACAAACTGGCCCTGCAGATTGCAGCTGGCACTGGCTGGCTGGCGGATGCTGAACCATTTGTAATTCTCCTCTTGCAGGTGAGCAGGCCCAGGGCCAAGGGCAGCCCAGCTCTTTGGGGAGGACTGGTCTGTGGTGGTAGCATCCTCGTTTGGAACAAGAGACCCTCTTCCTGGCTTAGGCCTTCGAGCACCTCTTGCTCCTGGTAGAGTTCCCAGGAACAGGGCAGACCCCGTTCAGGGCTCAGGAGAGGCGCTGGGGCCTGTGCCCAGTTCCTCCATCCAACTGGTCTTCCCCAAACAGAGGAGGGAGGGGCCCCAAAATCACCTTTTTCCTTTAAATTTCTCAGTGGCTTTGGGTGCAAACTGGCTAATTTCTGGGGGTCTGCTGGGGAAGTAGGAGGGTCCTCGGGGTCTCATCTCTGGCATGCACTTAACCAGCCCCACCCTGCCCCATTGGGGATGGACGGAGGGGCCGAGTGGACACACCACAGCCAGGTCAGCTCTTCCGGGTGGAGCCCCAGGCAGGCAGACACAGGCATGGCCCCCCGTATAGACCCTCCCCTCTACCCGGGATGCCTGCCCTCCCAGCCTCGCCCCCACTGCTGCCTACAGGCCTCCAGCTCCCACCAGCGGAAGGCAGCTTTTCCTAGGACGCCTGCTCACAGGGTCCTGTGCTAGATCCATCTCAGAGGGGCCCATGCACCTCTGGGGCCACCTACCTCCCTATATGTTCCATCCCTAATACTTCTGCCCTGTCTCTGAAAAAATGAAAATTTGCACTCCTCAGAGAAGAATAAGGAGATATTGAGAAAAAGCCAAGGTAGACCGTGAGCTCAATCTTCTGTATCTTCAAGAGTTTGAAGACACCAGAAGCAAGTTTTTCAAGGTTTTATGTTCAAGGGTTGTCAATTTTGCTATCAACACCTCTTGACTATTATAATTTAAAAGCTGATGATCTCATTTTTGTTTATCCACCAAAACCTTGCCATGCTTCATTATTTAAGATCCCAAAAAGTAAGTTTAATCTTGGATTTACTTCATTAAAGGTTATAAAATTTATTGCAGGAGACTGGATCTATTGCTAATTATGGCAATTATATTAAGAAATCAAACATTCATTCTTTTATAAAAAGCACCTGACAAAGGATAAACCAGGAATAAATTAAGAGTCAAATTACATGTCAAGTTATTAAATTTAAAACAAGTAAAACCAGCTGAAAAATTTGGGGGCCTTCTAATTTCTAATCTGTTGACTCCTCCCCAATGGCTATACCTGTTTGCCTAAAGTTCTATGAATATGGAAAACAGAAACTGCTGAAAAAGTCCCACACATTTGAAACTATTAAGTTATTTGACACTTATTACCCAATTTCTGAATTTTTTTAAATGTGTATTTCTAGGGGTATGTAATGTATATCAGAAAACCAACACAAAGTATCATAAAATTGGTCATTTCCCCTCAAATTATTATGTAAGCCTCAACACTTCAGTTACTTCTGTGTAACTCCCCTTCATAGCAACTGCATCAATCCAGTGAGCCACAGTTGGTCCACCCCACACAAGCCCTGCACTGCTCAGAGCCAACATCTTCAACGGCGACAAGAACATCTCAAACCCTGCTGGGGAAGTCAGCCATGAAGGCTGGCAAACATCCGGTCTCACAGCACACAGACGTTACTTCCCCAGAAATAAGAACAAAATAATCACTGCCTGCACCCGAGGCTTCCAGCAGGGGTGGGAGTTCTTGTCTGTCCCCCACCCCACTGAACAGGGGCCTGCGTGGCAATGGTTGACATACTGCACGCAGCAAGCGCTCCATCAATTTGAGAAGGAATAACTGATCATCCAGGAACGAAACATGATTTGAACATACCCACTCCGTATGAACAAAGAACACGCAGCCTTGGATGAAAGCCTCTGCGGTAGGCCTGCTGTGCGCCCCACGTGCCTGCTGTGCCTGCTGTACCCCAGCCTTCCTCATGGTGCGGTCTGTGCTCCAGGGAGCAACACAGGACTAAGATCAGTAGAGGTAAACACCAGTGGCATTCAACTCAAGTAAGGCCATTCCAATCCAGAGAATCTTCCTGGTTCTTTTGTGTTTTGTTTTAAGTCTTTTATCATGGAACTGCCTAGTGCACACAAAGGCGGGAGGAGTGGGCGGCCGTGTCCCCATCCCAGCACCTTCTCTGTCAACACATGGCCAGTCTCGCCTCATGTGTGTCTTCCCTGACCTCCACTGGGAATTCTGTGGATTTATGAAATTCTCTGGATGCCTGCCCCTCAGCAGGTTGAAGGATCCCTCCCACAACTTGCCAAAAGCAGCCACCTCCCCTCACTGAACCACAGTTTAGTGAGCAGCCACAAGAACTCCTGTGGGGCACAAACTCCCACCCGCTGGTGCTGGCTGTGCCTCTGCAGCTGAGAGGGCACGGGGGTAAGGAAAAGGACCTGGTCTGCCTTGCTCGGCTGGCTTGGCTCACGGGTGGCCGGACCAGTCTGGCACCAGAGCAAGTGCCTGACCCACCCTCCGTGCCCTTGCCTGGGCTCCTTCCTCCCGCACCCTGCGGCCGCACATGTAGCCAGCAGCCCCGTCCTGCTGCTTCACTCGGCTAGTCAAGAATGAGCATGGGCCTAACACTGCTGGCTGGGCCTGGCCACCAAGAGTGGGAGCCTGATGCCTCTACCCAATGCTCTTCCCAAACAGCAAAGCTCTGGGGCCTGGAGGGAAGCGTCCTGAGACCTGGGCACAGGTTGGGCAGGCGTGAGTGGGGCTGGGCTGCCAGTCAGGCAAGGTGACGTGGTCTCCACTGTTCTGGTCACCCTGGCTTTCTCCTTTCTTCTGCTACCTAGTTATGCGTCCCTAAGAAATGAGGCTACTTTTGCCCGTCTGGGGAGTTTACGTCATCTTTCTGCTGTCCCATACACTGCAAGTTCACTGTATCACGATGCACTCAGACATTCTGCTGCTGATGGACATTTGGACTGTCTCAGTGCTCGAGACACGCCCCTCCATGGAGTATATTCCTCGGGAGTAGACACACCCTCGGTGGTGCACGCTCACCAAACTGCTCCCTGAAGGGCCCTCAGGTGTTCACAGAGCCATGTCCTCACCTGCCCTAGGTGCTGTTTGTCTGTTGTACTTTCTGCCAGCCCGGGGGGCACTGAGGGGCCTCCAGTTATGACGAGGTGGAAGCCACGTGCCCCTCCTCTCTCAAGGACGCCTCTTTGGACCTTAGGGCTTGCCACGGCCCCTGACCTAACCACACCCTCTGCTCAGTCCATGTTACCAAAGGGTGATCCTACTGCATGGCACGGCTGTTAGGCAGAGTGCTGCAAAGTTCTGCGTAGAAGAGCAACACCCCAGGAGACAGCCTGCTGTCCCTCTGACTAGATTTGGAGGCAGAGCCAACCACACCCACAGCAGCAGCAGTCAAGGGATGGAGTCCATTCCAGTGATATTGAGTGTGCTTAAGCCGAAAGCAGCGCAAGCACACAGCCACACATACACACAGCACACACGTAAACACATACAAGTGTACTCATACACAGCTACATATACAGCACAGATGTAAACGCATGCAAGCACACACACACACAGCCATACATACACACAATACACACATAAACACGTGTAAACGCACACACACACTAGTGGACACACATATGTTTGTCTCCTTACCAGGAATAAAGTTACTGGAAGAGATTTCACACGTCAGCTGCAGGATGGGAGACACCCAGAAAGCACAGGGATCATCTAAGTCCCCAAGGACCCTGTGCCTGTCAGGGGGCTGTGGACCCCAGGGAAGGGTCATGGGAACCGAAGCCCAGAGACATGTTGCCCTTTTTGTTTTTCATAATAAGCAGCAGATACTAGTCTTAAATGCTGTGACTGCCCCGAATCATAACCTATAGGTTTGGCTGAGTCCCTGGGTGACTTAATCTGACGTGAAGACGCAGGCTGATGGTGACATTCTCCCGCCAGCTCAGCAGATGCTGAGAGGCGGCCACCCTAAGCCCAGCCCAGCACCCACAGTGTGACCTAGACAAGCTCTCAGCCTGTCTGTGCTTGCACCCTCCTCCGTGACATGGGCAGCTGTCAAAATTAAAGGATCATTCCTGGAAAGCACATAGAGACCCCCACCCGGCAGTGCTCGACAAACCTGAGCTTGGCTGCTGTTCCTCAGGGGCTCCTGCTCGTTTCCATCCCCAGACGGGCATCCTGAGAACTAAGGTGACACACAAGGGGGCGGGCTCCAGGCAAGGGCACGAGGTACCGGGCAGGTTCGTCCCAGACACTGCCGAAGGTGATACAGACCTGCCCCGAGTGATTTCTGGACACCTAAGGACTGTGTCACTAAGAGAAAGAGACACGGTCTTTCCACACCACAGAACAGGCTTTCAAAGAGTGCGGCACGCAGGATTTTAGTCTCTAAAGCAAACTGCGTGCTCTGAGGGGAACCAGGCAACAGCTTGTGGGTAAGCGACGACCACACTCCAGGACAGGCACACATCGCCCTAGCTGGTACTGGACGGTGGAGAAGCTGCAGGGCGCTGAAGAAGGAAGGGGCAGGAACAGGGAGCGTGGAGTATGGAGTGCCGGCCGGGTTCCAGGCAGATGCAATGCCCAACTCTTCTGAGAGGTAGGTGGGTAATATGAACCTGTTTAGACACACACGGAGGAACTGAAGCTCAAGGCTTAGGTGATGTCCCAAAGGCACTAGCAGGCAGAGGCTGGGCCACACTAGAGCCTGGAGGTGTCCAGAGCCAGCCCTGGACCCACCTAAATCAGGTTGTGTGGGGACGTCTCCCTTGGCCAAGTCACGCTGGCTTGTGACTATTAATATTAGAGGTGGGACCAGTGGAGACCCTGAGAGACCACCCCACTGAGGGTCCCACAGCAGGGAGGAGCCCCTGCTGCCAGGGCTCCAGAAGCCCACAGCCCCACTGGGCACGAGGGGGCAGGGGTTGTGGGTCCAGGGGAGTGAGAAGAGACACAAAGGAGGAAAGGGGGAGAAAGCAGTCGTGGGGGCCAGGGGAAGAGGGCATCGGGAAAGTGATGCATGACTCTCATCTGAATGGTGTGCAGACTTTGTCACTGCACATAAAACTTCCAGAAGGAAGACAGTGCTTGCA